TTAAGGATTTTAGACAGAATACTAAACTTCAGCAAAATAAAACTCCTGTTCCAGTGATCGCATCTTCTTCTTCTAGCAGTAGTTCCCCTGACAAGCAGAATATTGACACATTATGATGTCCAATAGCACAAAGGCAGATACCGATTAAAAAACAACGAAATATACACTCATAACGCCCTTAAATGGAGGACACCCAATGCGTGTTACCTGCAAATCTCCATCACTTTTTTCCACCTACTTGTTGACTGGGAAGGGGGGACATGCTAAATTATTATTCTGATCCTCTACACTTTGTTAATTGTAATTCTACTTCACATTTTGGCTCTGTAAAGCCAAATTTAAGATAAAGTTGTACCTTAAAGTAAATTCTTTTTCTGATTTGTTAACTAGAACTCTTTCGTCCTCTGTCATTCGCATATTTGCAGTCATTATTAAGACAACTGTCTACTGCAAAGATCGGTTGTAAATATTGTGAGTTGACAGATCATATGCTATTATCTCCCATGTTGACTTTATTGACGGCAACGAACCGTATCAACACACGTAGGAGCTAGAGTAGGCAAAATTTTCACACTGAGGATAGATCAAATCTTAAATTTTAACTTAGAGATTGGCCGTTTCCTAATTTATTCTGTTTTGTACGATTCGAAATTTGGTGAGCCCCAGTTTTATGGATGTTTCCTAATTTTATATTTGTAACTTAGAATGTCATTGAAATGCCATGTGGTTGGTTCGTGAATACTTCACAGTATTTTTAAAGTAAATATACAGGCAATATAAATACTCACCGCCGAGAACGCCAAGAAGATAGACTATGCCAACACGCCAAAATTTGTGCACCAGTTCCAGAAGAGTTCCTAGCACAAGTTGCATAAGGCAGTTGAAGACCAAGTGGATGTATCCATTGTGTATGAACATGTAACTGACGAATCGCCAGCACTCATAACGCTTCGTCGGGAGATAAATTAATGGACTGTAGTATGGCACTCCAGAGGATGCCGTTACGTCATTGTAGGGATTGTCATCCAGGGCATGTATTATGGCATAGTAAATAAAGACTGTTATCTGCGTGGGAGAACATTAGATATAAGAAAATCCTTCGTACCTGGGCTACAGTAATGAGTGGGATGAATATAGGTGGTGGTCGACAATCATAAGCTTCTATGTAGTTACTGACATCAGCTTCCCCCCAGTTGTAGACATCAGTTTCATCCACACCATACTTGTGCAGTTGCATACGCTGACACCTTCGGGCCGAAACCGGATCAATGGCGAACACAGCCCTATTTAGTGAGCGCTTCCCAGAGGTCAGCCTCCTGCGGAATGTTTTGTCCTCAAACATTACCTGCAGAAGTAAATTACTTGCTAGTAAGAAAATAATGAACTAGTTTCATTAACGAATGTCCGATCTCGCATACACAGCATTTGCTAAAAGTTTGTTTAGTTGGAAGGTATTTGCAAATACACAGCTGATACATAAAAAAATTCTCGTATGGCTCACTCAGAGGAGAGTTACGGGTGAGTAAAGGTTTTACGAAACAATTTTGCTTTGCACCTCCGAGGTGAGCACAACTTATGCGCTATGAAATTAAATGTTGTTTCCCCTGTTTTGGTGCGTAAAATCCAACCCCACCTCCACGCTGGTGCGCGCCGGAAACTT